GGAGGACTGGTAAACCCGAGCCAGGCGGGCATAGACGATGCCCAGCACCACACCAGGTGCCAGGATGCTGGTGGCGAAGAGCACCGTCAGGTAGAGCCGGAAGGCTGCCGGCGTCCAGGTAGGGATGCAGATGCGCTTGTGGGGGCCATCCCCCTCCCGCAGCTGGGTCATCACCATCATGGGGGCCGTAAGCAGGAGCGAGAGGAGCCAGAGGACGGCGCTGGCCAACTTGCGGCCGCCTGGCCCGCAGCGGCCTGGCCACTGCCCAGTACCTCTCCAGGCTCATGGCAGTCAGGAGAAAGATGCTGGCGTGCATGGTGAGGAGGTCCAGGCTGAGCAAAAGCCTGCAGCCCACATCCCCGAAGAACCAGTCATGGGCGAAGTAGGTGCAGACCACAAAGGGGATGGTGGAGAGGTACAGGAGGTCAGCCAGGGCAAGGTTGATCACGTAGACCCCCAAGGAGCCCACTGAGTGACCTGCCACCCTGCCAGAGGCCACCACCACCGTGTAGATGTTCCCCACCATCCCAGTGAGGCACATGACCAGCAGCACTGCACCCAGCGGCCCCGTGACCGGGCTGTCCCCTCCCAGGACACTACCGTCATCATCCCCACCGCTGCTTTCCTCCAAGAAGCTGCCACCCTCGGGATCCTCTCCAGGCCTTGCGCTGATGAAGGATGGGTCATAAGACATCTTTGGGTAGGGCAAGCAAGAGCAAGTCAGGCTGTCAGAGACCTGTTCCTTGCCCCCTCGCTGTATGGGACACGTCCAGCCTTAACAGGAAAGCAGCCGAGGGAAGGGAAGAATGACGAGAGTTCATCAGACATAAAGTACTCCAGAGAAGTCTATTCCTCACCTCCAGCTGCTCAGTCCATTTTGCTGATCTCCATCATAAGCTCTGTCCGGTGGTTTCCCTTAACCATCAAAGGGCTGAGAAAGGGACACTGCCCTCTCCGTCAAGACCGATAGGCGCAAAATAACCTCTGCCAGCCAGGAGGAAACGACTCTGCTCTTCACCAGCTTATTTGTTGCTTCTCCAGCTTTCACTGAGCACACAGAAACCAACAGACTCGGTGGACATGTGGATTTCTCCTCCCAAGTCTGTGTCTTCTCAGCTCAGACAGACTCTGGAGAGATGGGCTCTGCCCCCCCTGAACCAACCCCTGGAGAGTTGCCTTGCCCACTGCATGGAGGAATGCGTCTGACTCACAGCTTCACACACCAGTGCGAACGCAGTCCCAGTTTATACTGGGTTTTTTAGCCGCTAGGTGAGGAGCCCTACTGTCTCCCTCCTCTTTTTTGCAAACACACTCAGTGTCTTCCTGCACCTTCCTCCTGCTCCCTCTTCCTTCTTGTTCTTGTTGCCCTTTCTTTTTCCCATTTCCCCTTTCACAATCGTCCTCATTTGAGAGAGGAGATAACTGAAAGACAAGACCCCCTAATCTGGCAAGGGTGGGGGAAAGCATCACGCTGTGGCTTTAGAGGGGAAAGAAGGGCCAGCCCTGAAAGTGCAATAGGCAGGGAGCTGCCACGGTGTTCTCCTTGGCCCTTAGCCAAGCCGGGCTGAGAGGGTCTGTCCCCCACTCCCTTCCAAGGACATCAGGGCCCCTTGAGATGTAGATGATGGATGTAACCCCCAGTTTGCAAGCAAGTCCACCAGATGGTAAGACATCTCACTTTTTCTATGACTTGTTCCACCCCTGTCCCCCAGACAGCAGCAACCTCCTAAAGACTCAAAGGGCTGGATATTTTAGATCCTCTCTTTCCTCCCTCTCCCTGAAGACCATCCTCCTTCTCTAAGCTTTCCCCCTCCCTCCCTCAAACCCCCAGGACTTGCTGCCTCACCTCAGAGCAAGGAGCAGAAGCCCATTAGGTAGGCACCATCACCTTCTGGTGAGGTACCACCGCATGACACCAGTGCCCCCACACTTCTGCACCCAACACTACCCTGCTCTTTCTTCACCCACATCCAACCCTCATTTGTCTCGGGGAGGAACAGACACGGTAGGACAGACTTTGCAGAGCAGAGACAGATGTGCCATTACTAAATGTGCTCTGCTGTTCGTTCCCAGGGGTTTTCAGGCCACTCCAGCCACGCTTTTTTGCATCGTCAGTGTATTAGGTTCGTTACGGACGAGTCAAATGCCTTCACTCACCTCCAGCAGCACTAACTCAGCAGCAAACAGGAGAAGGAAGTATCCCACCGGTACTGCCTTTGCTGCAGTAGGATCCAAGCACCTTCCCCAGCAATGTTGTGCACACAACAGCAACAGCTTCAGCACGACCGTGCCACAGGAGTGAGCGTACGGCACATACGGCATTGATGGAGGGAACTTGAGAGGCTTCCATCTGGGTTATCTGTATCAGCTCTTGGCATGTCTGGGTCATGCTCTCTACTCTTCTTCACAAAGAACTGAATGTGCAGGTTGTTTAGGTGGGGTTTGAGGGGTTTTTCAATGGACAGTCCCATTTCATGTTACCAGAACTGAAAGGCACTTTGGTTTGGAACACAAGTTTTGCCATGGCCTTTGGTTTTTAGGACAGTCAGGCTCCAAACCAGGGGAGATCAGCAATCTGCAGTGAAACTACACTTTCGGGTGGAAAGCTCCATCATGCCATGGCAGCAGAATGAGCGATGCTGCTTCTCATCCAGGAAGTTGATGGTCCCACCAGGTTGCGGTGGTTTCAGCACAGAGAGGGGTTCCCCAGAGCAGCAGAATTGGACTGCGACTTTGCCCGTTTGGCTCTGATGGGAAGATTCACAATCCATGTGCCCCAGGAAATGCAATGAATAGCCATGGCTCTTTGCTCTGATTGTCTGTGCTTTTTTTTTCAAGAAACAACCTCATATATTAGCAGTTAGCAGCTCAGCTCGTTTAGGAAGTTAAAATAAATTACAATGGGATTTTTTTTTTACTCATTTCTTTAGGAGCTAATTAAAATATTGGTTGCCTCCTTAATTCGTTAGCTCCCCTTAACATACAAGATGCCTACTCTCACAGTGCCTGCGTAAAACTGCAGACACATCAGATAGATACTACAGTCATCAGCAGAACTCAGCTGGTCCTTCCAGCATGTGAAACACAGCTCTCCCAGGAGAGCTTTAAGAGTTATCTTTAAGATATGAATCACGAGTTGATTTAGTGGTTAGGACTAACTGTTACTAGAAAGACATGAACATACAGACTTCCTTGTTACACTATTGCGTGAAATTATATGTATATGTGATATACAATATAAACATATGTAATGTATAGGGCAGAATGAAAGTGCCAGACCTTTGACATGCAGAGAATGAGGGAGCAGAGATCCATGTATTAACTATCTCCAGACATCAACCCATAGCCTCTAGGAAAGACAACAGAGAATCTGAACTCCGGATCAGACACACCATAAGCCACTCTCTGCGGGACCCAACCTCTCTCCATTGGTTTGACTAGAGACTCAAATTTGACAGCTGAACTTCCATGGCATAAATATCCCTCACAGAATTTCCCTAGGGCAGTATTCTACCTCCCATCACTTTTTGTTACGTGCACACACACACACATTATCCACACACACATATGTATACCCCCACTTTCTTTTTGAGCAGGTCTCAATCTTCTCTGTAGCAATCGGAGGAAGGGCTCCACACAAATGTGGTCTGAAGCAGCTTTCAAACACATACACGGCAGGAGGAAACAGGCCTCACATTTGGCTGTTAGATTACATCTTTTAAGTGACCTTTCTCAACTACAGCTCTAACTGATCAAATATCTAGATGTTTCACATCTCTGTCGCCAGCAGAGAAGCCATTTCTTGTAAAGGAACAGTCTCTCCTAGTCCAGCAGCCCCTGCAACCCGCTGGGGTGTAGCTCTGGCCAGGCAGCTGTTTTCTTGCGTAAGGTAGGTGGCTATCTGCAGTTTCCTCCAGGAGTGATGCTAGGTCCCATGTCCAACACAAGTGCCAAGTTTTCACGGCCCGATTGAGAGGCAAGGCCTGCCAGCATCCTGCCAGATCACAGCAATTTAACAGTGGCTGCGCTGAGGATTCAGACTCACAAAGTCTTGCACTTGAAAGGAAGCAGCTTAATTGGGCCCTCAGAACAAAGGGGACTGTCTATGGGGAAAAAAGTGCTTCAAAGGGTGCTTCAAGAGCACTGTGTTTCTCTGATGTCGATCTCTTCTCCTGACAGCCCACCCAACAGGACCAGGTAGAGTCGAGTCATAGCGAGGTTCCTATATGGCTTCCTAGGATTTAAACTTGAAGTAGGCTTCAACTGTAGTGAAAGAAAAAAGTGGTGCATTAGGGCAATACCCTGAAGCAGAGTGGCATGAGGGGAAGGAAACAGCATCCAGGCACTTACTTGCATACTCCTGTGGTGTCATGGCCTGGTTGATGACGCTAGTGAAGGCTGCAATCCAGTCCAGCTGGTCAGTCTCTGTCTCACAGGTGAAGAGGTATTCCCGGTCGGGGGTGACAATGGTGAGGCCATATTGCCAAGAGAAGTTGCCCTGTGTCCCCGAAGGCAATCCCTTCTGGACGCTATATCCGTTCTCTCTGCTGCCCACAAATACCTCACCCTTAGCAAATGCATCCTGCACATCAGGAGAGAAAGAGAGGGGTTTACGGAATCCCAGAAGAACCAGGGAATACTAGCAGTACACCTAAGGACAGGAGGAGAGTGGGTGATGACCAGGCAGCAAAAAGATTTGAAGGTGGTCAGGGGATTCAGAAGAGCATGGAGGCTATGCTCAAAGGCAGCGGCAGAAAGGAAAATTTATGAGCATAGATCTCGACAGGTCTGAGAGAGGAACTGCTGCTCCTGTCTCTCCATGTCACCCCCCATGTCGCTCTCCTCCCCATCACCACTTTTACACCACTGCCCTCCCTGTTCCCATTGTTTGCAGGCAGTGAAACAAACACAGAAAGCATGCGATGAACTAAGTGGAATGGAAAGGGGAAGACCTAGAGTCCATTCAGAGCAGCTGGGGAACCTGCAAGCCTTCCTCACTGCAGAGCAAAGACTCTGGTTGCACTTTGACCCTGCCCTCAGCACTGGTGCCTGCAGTTGCCAGAGGTCAGATCTCCCCCTCACCAAAGGGTCCTTGAAGTACATGAGCCTGCGGTGATCCAGCGTGAACCAGCGCTTCTTAAAAGCCTCTCTCTGCTGTGAAAGGAAGAGATGACATATGTAAGGGGATAGTGCCCTCTGCTGCGAACAGTGCAAATGGATACCCAAAATTCATCCCAACCGCTTGAACCAAGCCCTTGCCTTAACAGCAACCTCCTCCTCGCCCTTTCTGAGCTGAGAGTGGGGACCAGTATTGGGTTTTTCAGTCCCAACTGCTGTCCCCAACTCTTGGACTTCTGTGAAGGACCCCAGAGTTGAGACAGGAGAAATCTAGACACTAAATACCTGTAAGGTCACGCACACACAGACACATGCAGAGAGATCTGTTGTTCTGGGAGAAAGCAGGGACTCTGGCTTCATCTACTTTCACATGTGTCCTTCCCCTTCCTTTTATTCTCCCCTCCCTTGGTGCACACACACTGTTCCCACGGGTGTCTAAAGAGTCAGGGGGGAACGGGGAAACAGCAGGAGAAAAACATTGAGGTAGGGAAGGTCGGTGGCTCTCTGGCAGGTCCCTGTTCGATTTTTTCTCCCACAGCAGCTCACCTTGGGACCAGTCTTCTCCATGTATCCCTCCTTCAGGAAGTTTCTTGTCAGCCGATTTTTAATCTGCCAAAAAAGCAAGAGTCACGTTCACTTAGCCACGTTTCTTTGCTATTCACTTTTGCTCCCCACCCTTCTTTCTATTCCCCCAAATTCAGTCACCTTTTAAACTCATGTTTGCAGAACTGCCTAGCCAGGAGTCAATTCTGCCTCCAAAGTGCCCAGAAACAGCAGAGCACGGTTGCTCTCTGGCCACCACAGGCCCTTTTACACACATTTTCTCATCCCTCTATCTAAACACGGCAATTTCCACTTCTGTATCTGTGGTTCTAATAGTAACTAATGGGCTCTTATCACATAACTGAGTACCGGTGGGACACTCAGCCCTGCACTCTAGTGCTGCCTTACCTCATTATCGCTGGCAATGGGAAATGCTACCTTCAGATAATGGAACTGCACAGACCGAATGGCATTGAACCAGTCCACCACCTCCTGAGAACACGAAAGGACAAGACAGAAAGCTTAGCCAGAGCAACAGTGAGCCGTCTAAATTCACCCAGCTGCACCCAACCCTATGTTAACCACAAATACAGCCAGCTCTTCCTCCCCAGCACCTACAGCATCTCCCTCACACACACACAGCCAGCACGGCTGCCCCATTCCCCACATGCACAGGCAGCACATCTGCACATCTTTTACAGCAGCTCCTCCCACACAAACCAACTCAGCCAGTGCTCCTGCCCTGCTCCCTACAGCAAAACTGTCTCACAGACACACAAACACAGAGCGAGAACCCCCACTCTGTTACCTACAGCAACTCACCCATGCACACCCCATTCTAGCCATGCTTCAGCCTCTTTAATATCAGCAGCTTCTCAAATCACCTCAATTGCTTTGCAGTGTTTGATGCTAAAACCAGATACCTTTCCACTTTCATGGTAGACAAATATATTCCGGGTCTTGTTGTCTTTGAGATAGGTGATCTGCAGGCCATTGGGGTTCCCAATCTTGACTGGCTGGAACGTAGCATTGATGACATCTATTTTAACATTGATTTTGGGTTCTTTGGCCTGAAAACAGAATGGCATTGGTCATCCATGAGCAATTTTAGTGGGAAAGAGACCTGAGCTACTGATTTAGTGGGGTAAAGCAGGGTCAGAGGGTCTTAAAAGGTACTAACTGCCCCTTCCCAACAAAACACTGTAGCACAGACTCCCTTCACTGCGTGGTGTGCTCAGGCCCAGTGGCCCAAACCCTCCAGTTTAGATTTAAGCTCTGCCTACTCTGCAAGTGCCAGTGAAACACTGAGAGTGCATTTGAGTTTACAGCTGAGCCAGTCTAGAGGCTAACACTGAAACACTGAGAGTGTGTCTGACTTTACAGCTGAGCCAGTCTAGAGGCTAAC